TCTTCAAGTATGATCCACTTAACTAAGCTCCCTGGAATTGTCCTATAAAATGATCCATTATGGAATTTGTGAGATAAGTAACCAAATTGGGATGAAAATTGGTTAAATTGTATGAAAAGAAAGGAGAAATTCTCGGGTTTCAATTCTGTATAGGCAGTCGGATCGGGTCAGCTCTGGTCGATTGGCTGGAGCGGGTCGGCATGGGTCGGTTGGTTTGAGTGGTTCAGCATGCGGATCAGTTAATCACTTGGATTTTGGGTTGGTGCAAGAATTCAAGTCTGGTCAGACCGCGGCTCGTGGATTCGGCTTCCTCCTCCCACCTTCTTCCCGATTTTCTTCCCTCTCAGCCCAATGCGTCTTCTCCTCCACGAAAACCCACCATCATCCCTCGACAACAACCTAGATATGAAGACTCGCAAAATGCGATAGGGTTTTGGGGGGTGGGGAATAATGATCACACCACTAGAGGCTTTCCGTCGGAGTTCTTCCCTTTTCGGCAGTTTAAGTCCCAACGCCGTCACTCACGAGTTTCTCGAGTCTAGCTTCTCTTCTCTTAAGTTTTAGGAAAACGTGCTGTTAAAAGGGCCGATAAATCTTGGGCTCAACTTGCCCCTCTTCCCAAACCTCATCATCCCTTGCATGAGTGCTGTGAATGTTTGATTAATCCACCACACCCAAATGGTGGTGAGAGTTCTCTTATTTATAATCATTTACAGAATACAGAAATAAGGTAAATTACAAATAATAAGAAAATAGCGATAAAAGGAAAGAATAATAAATGAATACAATATATTTGCATCAAAGCTGTAGTGGCTCAAACTGAAAAGTTTATGTTAAGAAGCCTTGCTTCACATTACCGAGGCTGCTAGAAGTCTTTCCATGGCCATATGCTACAATTATCGTGTTTGTTATTAGTCTACCATCAAATATCATATCATATAGTCGACCAACTGATCTCAAAGCTCCTATAGTGCGATTGTAATGTATAGTACATTTTGATAAACAAGAGGCATTGGTTATTAGAAAACAGCGTACCTGTCTCCAGCTTCAGGAATTTGATTTGGAGCATCAATTCTATTATTCCCTAAAGTGAAAAGTTTCGTACTGATAGATGATGCTTGATACAGTTGAGATTTCCTAACAACGTCTGTTTTTGAAATTGAGTAATTCCCTCTCACTTCTTTTTCTTTCACCGTCACTTCATTTACCAGTAGTCCTCTGCATCAGGAAATTCGGAAAAACAAATGCTATGAGATAACATCATGCATTTCTTTAAAAGCTCAAATAACGGATTAACTCATTTAAAATGAGTTTGTGTAAATACATGAGGTAAATAATTTCCAGCTGTGCATTTCTCTTCAACGATCCTCACATTCGAATTCAGACGATCAGAACTAATATTACTTGGTGAAGTTTCGTATTAAAATATTTTGTTCATCTATTACTATAATACGATAAAGCATAATATCTGACCTGCATAAAGGAACCATAGACGGTTTGTGGTTTTCTCTGATTTCCTGCCTGTCAAGCAGAAGCTTCCTGGGGGCATCTGAATTGGAACAATCTTTGAGGACTAAATGAACTTCAGCCAGTTGAACATTGTCAACAACTTCATTCAGATGACTGTATTTCGACTTATTTTTTTCTGTTGGATTTCTCTCCGATGCAGAGAGATCTATCGGAGACAAATAGCTATGAGGCAATTTTTTACAGCAAGCTACATCAGAATCTACGATTTCATCAGTAACTTTTCCAGTTCCACCTGAAACTACTGTTAGTTCTCCTTTTTCCGCACAAATTTCAGACTGTGGTTCCGAAGTACATTCAGGTGCATAATTTCTGGCAATACACCTGACAGGAACATCATGAATGACTTGATGACTACCCTTTGACAATTCGTTTTCAGGTAAGCAACCTTTTTCATTTGTAGCTGGTGCTGTATTTCTTGCTTCATGTGATGTACCATCAGCAACTTCTGACTCTAGCTCACCATGATCTCCATGAAAATTCTCAACTCTAGAACTGGTCTCGTTTCCTGATGATGGAAGTCTCTTGGCTATACTAGTATTATCAGTTGCAGTATTTTCTTCACCTATATGGATATTAAAAGCTTCATGCTCGACTCTAGAAGAAGAAACTGCCTCGGTGTCTTGCTGTTGTTTACAAGTCCTTTCTCCATTTTGTAAGCTTTTATCAACATCAAAGCTGTCCAGTCTTATTCCAGACATAAGTAATAATGAGAAGTTGTAAGTTAAGGTTCAAGGCCATGGCTGTCTAAAAATTAAAACATGATTCTTAAGAAATAAGGTCCAAGCGTTTCCCTAATTGCCTTCTCCACTTACTCTTTAAAATCAAAAGAGAAATTTAAGCTGTCCATATCCCTTTGAAGATTTTCTTTGGGTGATCCTTCTTTACAACTACTCCTAGCCTTTTCATTCTTTTTGGGCGGGGATGAAAAGTCAAGATCTGGCATGTCAATCTTGAACGATGATAACTTTTCAAAACTTCCATCCAGATTGAAATCAACATCCCTGAAAGAAAAGAAATAATATTTTTCAGTAACATGAAGCCTCCATTGATTATTTTCTAACATGGTGTTTGAGATCCCACTCCACTTGATGTTGTAATGCACGAACATGTAGCAGGACAAATATCCATAACTGAGACTGATGAGGGTTGAAAGATGATAGGAAATTTATTAAAAAGACCCAAGTTTCTAATAGTGGCTCAAATAATTGCCAATACTTACAAAGTTCCAAAATCAAATGCCTTATTCTTGCCTTTGGAGACCGTACCAAAACTAAAGTCCACCATGTCATCCTCTGCCACTGATATTGATTTCCAGGAGTTCATAAATTCGTCACCAATGTCCTCATCTGTGTCAAGGTTAGTAGAGGTTCTATTACATTTTTTTTAGGACCTTACAAATACGGATTCAGCCATTTCACATTATTTGTAGTTTGAACATGACATCTAAAAAATAGATAGATCACGTTGCTTCATTACACTTCATTCTATGCAGTATCATAGTTTCAAACTTTGTATACCACTAACTGATAAGGAGTTACGGTAAGCACTGAGAGAAATCAAACATTAAGTTATTGAACTTCCTTCCCTAAGAAGGGTAATCAAAACAAGTCACTGAGTTATGTTCCCTCTACATATGTAAGCTAAAAGTGCATACCTAGAAGGGAATCTTTTTTTCTAGGATCAGTAGCCAAAGATGCTCCTTTCCTTGGTTCTGCCATCCACTTGTACTGAACTTGGTTTGACTCCTACAAATGGTGAGCGGACAAGATGACGTTTCTACAGAGAATAAACTATTAGAAGACGATGTTTTCACTAAGAATTCATCTGAATTTCTCAAAATTTTCCTATTCCTATCAAACCCCCCCCCCCCCCNAAAAAAAAAAAAAAAAAAAGAAAAAAAAAAGAAAAAAACAGAAATGAGAAAACAACAGGCGATTTGACAACAAAAGATACAAGGCCAATAAAATGGTAAACTATTTAAAGTGATTGTGAGCTCTCTTTTATTCTCACCTGAAATAATCTGAAATTTGTGCATAGTTGGGTCGATAATAGATTCAAATTAATATATTAAATAAATAGGATGTTAAGTTAAACCAATTTGTTCTGTGGAAACGTAGTGAAAACCTTTAAAATTAAACAGCAGCAGAATTGCACTAACCTGCTCTTCAATGGAAATGTAATTAACGATTAAGCACACACAAGGTGCAAAATAACACTAGGTAATTCTTCTGATGGGGAATCACAAACTCCAACCATTAGTCGACGCCAGATTGCTTGAGGAAGTGTTCCAGAGAACACTTGTGGAAAGTTGAAACGAAAGCATCAACTCAGATTTCTGAGAATGATGTTCCAGGTCAAGGTAGGTTATAATGTGAACAAGATTGAGCAGAGCTCTGTGTGTACCATGTACAATATACACCTATACTAATACACATTATAAGATGATAAACTTGTAGGTACTATTACGTAATTAGCGTTTAAAAGAAGAAGACGAGGTCTGTAGTAAATTCCAGCGGAATCAAAATTACATCAATCTTGGAAAAATGAGAAGTGGATGAATGAGATTGACTTGATTCAAACAATGGAATTCGAGTAGTCGGCGAAAAGAGGAGCACATGACTAAATTCCAACGAACTATCAAATGAATCAGTCAGCTGAAGGTTAATGACTAAAAAACATGAAGTTAAGCACATAAAGTAAGCAAATTAGTCCTACAAATACAAAATGCAAAGCATGCAGAAACAAAGGTCTCCAAAGGATGACAGATGAACCTCAAAAGAAAATAACGGAAACTGATCATACAGAATCAAACGACTACGGATTCAGCGAAGAAGCAAAATAAGAGATGACATTTTCACGAACAACAATATGTGCGAGTTTGATTCAATGTCAGAGCGATAGAAATAGAGATAGAGGGAGACCTGGAATTTCACCGATAGGATAGAGATGCTAACTATGGCTGTGTGCGGAACATGCAAAGCTTTATTCAACCGTCTGCATTTATATGCAATTTTTGTGTTTATGGCGCGCAAGGATCATTAGCGCAGCGGTTACATCGACTGACCGCTGGGCAGCGCTGGGATCATTTGTCAAGATCTTCATTTTGTTTAATATTTTTCAAAAAGAAAAAAAAGAATATATTACCAAGTTTTTTTTTTTTTTTTTTTTTTTGCAAGTATATTATTCCAATTTTGCCCTTAGTGTATGAACAAATGTTTATATTTTGTTTATAAAGTATATATTAGCGACTTGTATTCATATGCAATTTCAATAGTAACATTAACTATCATTTAAAAGACATTATAAATTTTAGCTCAAATTACATATTTAGTTTGAAATAAAATGATGGGCTGAATNTATAAGAGACGCAGTATGCTCCACGTCGCCCCCAATTACCACACACCAAACGGCAACGTAGCCTCCACCAACCCCGCCAAGCGTGAGTCTACAAAATCAAGACCAAAATGCACCATTGGCATCCCCACCGGGCCACCACCTCACCGCCGTTCGAACAGCACAGCCATGCGAGTCACAGTATCAGCAACCACTCCCATTCTTCCCTCTCATCCCCCTTTCGCTCACAGCCATGTCCTCCCTCTTTCTCATCTCGACACAGATCCCAATCTCCGTGTCAGTTTCCGCTACCTTCGGGCCTATGTCTCCACCAACGCCCACCAATCTCCTACCCCCGATCCCTTCGACGTCATTGCCACTGCCCTCTCCTCCGCCCTCCTCCATTACTACCCACTCGCTGGAACTCTCCGCTGTCAGAATCACCGCCTCGAGCTATTCTGTGCTCACGGCCAAGGCGTCCCTCTTATCCGCGCCACCGCGGACTGTGAACTCGCGTCTGTTGATTACCTCGATAAACCGGACGAAACTTTTGTGGAGCAGTTGGTGCCGGATCCGGACGAGAATGAGGGGCTGAACCACCCTTGTATTCTACAAGTTACTCTGTTCGAATGCGGTGGGTTCACTCTCGGGGCTTCCATTCATCATTCTGTGTGCGACGGACTTGGGGCAACTCAGTTTTTCAATGCAGTGGCTGAATTAGCCCGTGGGGCGAGGACGGTGTCGATCGAACCAGTCTGGGACAGGGCTAGTTTGTTGGGCCCGAGGAATCCGCCACGAATTGAGTTACCAATCGCAGATTTTTTGAGTTTAGAACATGGAAATTTACCCTACAGTCAAGAAGTTGGGGCGGTAGTGAGAGAATGCTTCCCTGTTACGGACGATCAATTGGAGAGGTTCAAGAGCATGCTGTTCAAACAATCTGGCTCTCGATTCACCGCGTTTGAAGCCCTGGGTGCATATATATGGCGCGCCAAGTGAGTCGAATTCTACCATGTCTGTTAATTTTGTGTTCCTGGTCTTTGATTGTTCTAACTTTTGGGGCTTCCTTCCATTCTCAGAGTGAAAGCCTCGGAAATTGCAGGCAATGAGAAGGTGAAATTCGTGTATTCGACGAACATACGGAAACAACTAAAGCCGCCATTACCGGTGGGTTACTATGGCAATGGTTGCGTTCCAATTTACGTTACACTCACTGCAGAGGAGGTCAGAGAGCAACCCATTTGGGAGACGGCGAAGAAGATCCAGAAGAGCAAAATCAATATAAGCGACGAGTATGTACGGTCGTTCATTGACTTTCAAGAGATTCATTGTGGGGATGGAATCACTCCGGGGAAAGAAGTGAGTGCGTTCACAGACTGGAGACATTTGGGGCATTCGACGGTGGATTTCGGTTGGGGAGGTCCGGTTACGGTGCTGCCACTTTCTCGTTTCCTTCTTGGGAGTGTGGAGCCTTGCTTCTTCTTACCTCATTCTTCTGCAACTTGGAGCGCGGCTGGGTTTAAGGTCTCCGTCGCTTTGAGGAAACCGGCGATGCCCTGTTTCAGAGAGGAGATGAAGAAGTTTGGTGATGATGATTTCGGGGTTATTGAGCTAAATTTGCTTCTCTAATACCCAAATTTGGATCAAAGTATATATGAATGTTTAAATTGTCTATTTGTTCTTGGAAATTTTAATAAAAGTAACATTTATATATATATATATATATATATATTGAATTTTAGTTATTAATATTTTACTCCTCACTTATCCAATACTACCTCGTGAGGAGCCCACAAAGCCACGAGAGCTAATTTAGGTATTTATCCTGAATTATAAGCATAGAATATTATCTCTCTATTGGTACCGAGTCTTTCTAGAAAAGCTCAAAGCAAAGTCATACCCATAAAAACTATCGTACTATCTACCATTATCAAGAGTGAGATCATTTAACACTCGTCTTTGTAGAACCCTTTTCAAACATTTTAAAATTTATTCAATTTTTTTTAATGGTAATATTATCTTTTAATTTCTTACGTTACTTAAAAGAACTATTATTTGAGTGAATTAAATTAATTAATTAAATAATTAAAGATATTTTTTATAATTTAGGGTATTAATTTAGCCTAATTTTTTAAAGGGTGGGTACGAGTATGAGTAGGGTAATAAGCAGAACTTTGGAGAGAAATCTATCCACTCTCTTATCCGCAACCCAACGAACCAATACAAACCATCTATTAAAGTTGAGAAGGAGTTTTCAAGGATTCGCACCCACAGTAGAACTCAGTCATGGCGTTCGCTCTGGGAGGACCTTCCTCAACTGCGATCTTGGCCTCTCGATCTATCTCTTCTCCCTCCCCTCGGCATTTTTCCCCTCTTCTCTCTCTAACCCCAGGTACATTTCCATACAAACTAACCAATTTTCTCTCTTCTTTTGCTTATTGTCGTCTTTTAATTCGTTTTTAATTTCTTTTATGCTCTCTTGAACCCTAATATTTGAGAATCTGATGATGAGAATCTTGAGTTTCAGCTGTTCTCATCGAATTTTGGAGGTTTAAGAATTTGATAATTTTGCAGGTCATGGTAATGGGAAGAAGTCTTTTGGGAGTATTAGGATTCAGGGGAAGAAAGGAAGGCCTCAGGTCCAATGCAATGTTGCCACTGAAATAAACACTGTTGAGAAGGTTTGTTTCCCACCACCTACAATTTAGTTCGTTTCTGAGTATACAAGCTGCATTCATGAAGCTCTTTAAAACTACTTTGGGTGTTCCAGTTCTAGTAAGCTAACTGTAAACTGAAGAAAATTTGATGGCATACAATTTAAGCCTTTTCGACTAGATTTACAATTTCTTGAATATCGCAATAGATGGAGGAAAATGGTTGATAAGATCTTTACTCCTATGATATCTCTACTGGTTAATGAACTTAGAGAATCTTGCTTTAAACAATTCTTTTACAGTTTCTTTAGAATGAAAAGAAAGGGAAAAAAAAAAAGAACGATTGGATGAGTGGATAATATATTCATGACTTTTCAGGCTGCGAATATCTCAGAAGAGAGTCAGAGGCCTGTTTATCCATTTGCTGCCATAGTAGGGCAGGATGAGATGAAACTATGTCTTCTTCTGAACGTTATTGACCCAAAAATCGGAGGTGTCATGATCATGGGTGATAGAGGAACAGGAAAATCAACCACGGTTAGGTCCCTGGTCGATTTGCTCCCTGAAATCAGAGTTGTGTTTGGGGATCCCTACAATTCTGACCCTGAGGACCCTGAATCAATGGGTATTGAAGTGAGGGAAAGTCTGGGGAAAGGAGAGCAACTTTCGGTGGTGATGACCAAAATCAATATGGTTGATCTGCCATTGGGTGCTACTGAAGATAGAGTTTGTGGGACTATTGACATTGAAAAGGCACTTACTGAAGGTGTGAAGGCGTTTGAGCCAGGCCTTCTTGCTAAAGCTAACAGAGGCATTCTGTATGTGGATGAAGTAAATCTTTTGGATGATCATTTAGTTGATGTCCTACTGGATTCTGCTGCCTCTGGTTGGAACACAGTTGAGAGAGAAGGCATTTCCATTTCCCATCCTGCTCGGTTCATTTTGATTGGTTCAGGAAATCCAGAAGAAGGGGAGCTTAGGCCACAGCTGCTCGACCGGTTTGGAATGCATGCACAAGTTGGCACTGTAAGGGATGCCGAGTTGAGAGTGAAGATTGTCGAGGAGAGGGCCCGGTTCGACCAGAATCCAAAGGAGTTCCGTGAATCTTACAAGGCTGAGCAAGAAAAGTTGCAACAACAAATTTCTTCAGCTAGGAGTTCACTTTCTTCTGTGCAGATAGATCAGGATCTGAAAGTGAAAATCTCGCGAGTTTGCGCGGAATTGAATGTCGATGGATTGAGAGGCGACATCGTGTCTAATAGAGCTGCAAAGGCTCTTGCAGCCCTCAAGGGAAGGGATAAAGTTGCTGCTGAGGACATAGCTACCGTGATTCCCAACTGCTTAAGACACCGTCTTAGAAAAGACCCATTGGAGTCCATTGATTCTGGTTTGCTTGTGATTGAGAAATTTTATGAGGTATTTAGCTGAGAAGGTGATACAGGTAGCCTTATCTTTGCAACTCTTTTTGTAAGTGGTTACAAAGTGACACCATTGTGCTTTTTGTTTGTAGTGTTTCCTTTTCCATTTATATGAGCAGAACTTTACAGATTTGCAATGCACAGGTAATGCTGTTTAGATACAGGAAAAGAAGCAGTAGAATTGAAGCCATTTATGGTATTTCAGCTAAAGCATTGTAAGTTAAAATAATTTCAAAATCATTAACACGTTTTGCACTCTATAATGGCATCCATTAGGTAAGGTGCTGTTTCTTCTTTCTTAGTGTTCTCTTCATCATCTTCAACGCTTTTTTTTTTTTTGGCCCTTTTTCTTCCATAACCAGTTGATTTTCCATTTCATTTCCCATGCTGAATGCCGTCACAACGAATGTGGGATCTCACAATCCCCTCTTGGACTGGGTCAGTATTTTTTTTTTTTTTTAGAAAGAATTTTGAAAATTATAATGTAATAATAAATGAACGGAGACCTAAATATGTTTCTTTTCTAACGTTTCGAAACGGAAGCTTGGAATCTGTCTTTGATTTCGTTTTCTGTGTAATAAAACACGAATGATCCTAGAAATATCATCTTTGTTATTTAAGTTCCCAGTTTCCAACGATGCTTAAAAGTCAAGATTTAGCTTGACTAGCCATTTTGTTTTAAAGAAAGCAGGCATTATTAAACTGAAAGCGCCAATTTATTTTCCCCCAAAAAAGAAAAATTAAATGGAACAATAATTAGGAAAAAAAGGAAATGTACCCTACGAGAAATGTGAAGTCAAATTAGAAGTAATATCGTATTGCCTCAATTTTCCGCCCCTCTATTCGGAATTAATTTTAATTATTATAATTAAATCTTTTTTATTATTTAGTCTCTCAACACGTGCCTAGGATGCCTTATTTATTTATTTATTTTATCATATTCAATATTTCCAGCGCATTTACAGATTTTTAATAAATCTTTTTTCAAATCTAATTTAAACACACTACAGTCCATTAGACATTAATTATAATAAATTAATCATCCTTTATTATTGCGACCAGAATAAATATAAAATAAATAAATAAATACAAAATACTCCAACTAGGATTAATTATATAAAATAAAATTGCTAATATTGGATATGGATCTTATCATTTGTAATAGCTCAAGCCACTATTTTAGTTCTCGTCGCTTAACCTTATCGTTTTAAAATATATTTATTAGGAAGAGATTTCCACACCTTTACAAGGAATGATTAGTTCCCCTGTCAAACTGACGTGGGGTCTCACATGAAACTCAGAAAGGAAAGCCGAACAATATCTGGTAGCAATGATTTTGATTGTTACAAATGGTATCAAAACTAGACACCTAACAGTGTACCAGTGAAGATCTCATATTGGTTGGAAAGGGGAATAAAGTATTCCGAATGAAAATGTGGAAAACTCTCCCTAGTAGACAAGTTTTAAAACGATAAACAACCTCATGTAATTGTCCAAAAAGGAAGAAATTAGCATGTGGGGGCATGTAAATTGCAAAATTAAATATAAATAAATGTATATATTTATTTAAAGTTGTAATTAAGGGACTCGCCCTTTGTAATTGTAACTTCCCAATTAGTTTTATTGCACAAGATTTACTTATTTACTAAATAATTATTGCAATCATAACGCAATTATAGGCTATTTAATAACCTAATCTATTTATTAAATAACAAAAATTACTTTCAATTATCCCAACTAGATATGTATCTTGCGCCAAAAAAAATCGTACATTCAACCAAGAAAAAATAGAAAATATTAGAAAAAAAAAAACTTTTGAAAAGTTATACAAGTAATAAATGTTAAAAGAGGGGCCAAAACACAATTAACATAAAAGTTGTGGCCCAAAATTAAATCGAGACCAAGTTTTAATTTTAACGTAATTAAAGTCAATACTGAAAACGACAGCTATGAAAGACTTGAGAGACATCTTTTGCCCGAATAAATATAATGAAATTTTAATCTTTCAAAGTTAAAGTTCTTCAAAAAAAAAAAAAAATATATATATATATATATATATTCGTGTGAAATTAAAACTAAAACACAAAACGCACTTGATTCAATCATGGGTTCCGACGACGAAGATCATCACTTACGGAAGTTCCAATCCCGCCACAAGATCCTGATCTCTGCAATTTTCAGTCTATTAGTCGTCGTTTTGGTCATCCTCTTCCTCCATTTTTATCTCAGATATCTCCATAGGCGCCGAAGGCAATCCAGATTAATTAATCTCGAACACCAGATTTCACGGGCCGATCGCCAAAATCACACGGCGGCGACTGCGGCGGGGACGGCACCGGCGCCTAAGGCCGGCCTGGACCCTGTTCTTATAGCCAAACTTCTGCAGGAATCCATCCACAAGCAAGCCGATCATCACGGTGAAATTGTGGAGTGCTCGATTTGCTTGAGCAACATCGAAGAGAAAGCCACCGTCAGGATTCTCCCCAATTGCAAGCACATATTCCATGTGGAGTGCATCGATATGTGGCTTTTTTCCAACACAACCTGCCCTGTCTGCCGGACGGCGGTGGAGCCGACAGTTACAGCGACGGAGCACGGCGAGGCTCCGACGGCTCCGCCGTTAGAGGAAGAGCAAT